ACTCGCCCCGGGCTACCCTTCCCCATCTCCGCCCTTGCTCCTCTGTCCCCAGGGCAGATCCCGCTGAAGGGAGCAAAGTGGCCCTGCTGTCACCTCGGGGCAGCAGGGAGAGGAGGTGAAGCCCAGCACAACAGCCAGGTTTCTTCAGCAAAAGGCCCAAAAAGGAAAAGCTGGAGTTGCCTGTGAGCTGTGGAACATCACCGGGGTGCTGGTGAACCTCAGCACAGCCCCAAGGCAGAGCCGTGACAGCTCTGCCTTGCAGCTCGGCCAAACATCAGCGATCCCCGCTAACGCTTTGGTTGTCACAGCCCAGCAGCAGGCAGCTGCCTGTCCGAGAGCCAGCAACGTGGCCGACTCAATCTACCCCCATGAGGACAACTGCCAGTGGCATTCGCCCTGATGGATGGAGGCCTGACAAGCTGTAGCTTCACAGCCCATGGGGATGGATTTCACACGCTGAACACTCCGAGACTGTTTTTAAAGAGAAGCTGAGAACTGGGATTATTTTATTGCTTGTTTTCCTGCCCTATGTGGAGGGCGCAGCAGCCTCCTTGCGAGGACGGACACAGCCATCCCTTGGGTAGTGTGTGAGGATGCCACCTCCTCAGTTTGACAGAGATGAAGTGTGGTAGGACACTTTCTTCAGGGTCTCCAGGAAGAACTGCTCATCCTCTAAGAAACTGCGGTCCTGAGAAGAGAGGGATGGATAGGATAGATATCAGTGTGCTACAGAAACAGGGTCACAGTGCAGGGTGTCGCTCATGAGTGAGGGAAGTACCCCAAACCCTCCTTCATGCAGTGATCAGTGGGCAGGCACCCATCCATGGTAACCCCTGGGGTGCATGGGCTTCCCCCCAGAGCCCATAAACTCATGCTCTGAGCAAGACCCACAGAGGAAGCCTCAAAGAGCATCCTGGCCTGGGGAAGGACCCAACAGGGAAGCAGGGGGTGACAGGTGAGGACGGGGACATCACAAAGCCAGAGTCCAGCAGAACGGGCTTCTCCCACCCAGGGATGGGGTGAGGAGAGGGGCAACCCCATCGAGCCAAGGACGTTATCGATGAAGCTGAGACAAGCTGTGAGGATCCACCTGTGCTCGCTTCTGGTATCACTCCTCTAGGTGCCCATGGCTTCTGCAAACCCACCCACCCCAGCGGCTCAGTAACGATCTTAGGAGACACCCCACCCTGTCGCTATCAGGCTTCACCCAGCTGGTTCAAAACCCCTTCCAGCTCTGGTCTCCCACGGCCTCACCTGCTGGGCCCTGTGCTTCAGCAGCAGCAGCTTGGTGTAGAGCTCAGTGGCATTCGCCATGGCCAGGGTTTCCCTGCTACCCTCCAGGCTGTGCCAAGAGAGCACCCTGACAGGAGGCGGAAAGCCTGGAAAAAGATCCTGACTGTGTGGTGCTGCCGCCGTTAGAGGAACTGCAGATGGAGACAACAGAGCATTCATTTTTTTGCTGCCTGCACGTCCCTGCAGCAGAGTCCCCCCCAACCTTCCAGTGTAAATGAGCTTTAACTCACTTACCTCTCCCTTCCTGCCCCCTCTAACCCCTCCTGGCACTGGCCTGGCTCAGATCTGCTGAGCTCCTTCAGAGGACGAGGAGGCCAACTCACATCTGAGGTTTATATACAAGGAAACTAAAACAGCCCCCAGGCACATCCCAAGCCTCCTGAGAAGTGGAATACAAGTGCAGCTGCCCCCCAGCATGTCCCTTGCCATCAGCAGCATGCAGGAAGCCTTACACAGCGTGCTGGAGAGGCCTTTCGTAGGGGCACCGAGGTCCTGGTCTGTGCTCAGTGGCATCACACGGTTCTTGGGCAGCTCCTCACATAGCTGTTCGAGCTGTCTCTTCTGGTAAGCCACACTCAGCCGCTCCTGCCCCGTCCCCGGGAGAGACTGTTGGCAAAGGTTCAGGCCCTCGGGACAGCAGCGCCAGCCCGAGAAGGGAATCAAGGGGGTATTTGCCTGGTGCAGACGCTGTTCCTGCTGCTTCAGCTGCTCCACCTGCTGCTGTATGACCTGCAGCCTCTTCTGGTGCTCAGACTCTATCCTGCATGCCTCCCGCAAGGCTCGCTCCCCTTCCTCATACTTCTGGGATGAGAGCTGCAAGGCAGAGTGGCTGGGAAGGCTGGGGACAGGGACTCTCGCTGCCCTCGGGCAGGGCTCCTTTGTGCATCCCCTTATTCCCCTCCCAGGACAGGACTATGATTCATGACTTTGGGAGAGGGGTGAAACACCAGCTTTGCTGCTGGCCTGCATACAGCTGTGAATTGCAGTGCAGATGCTCCACTTACCTTGATCATGTTTTTAACCTCCTCCTCCCGCTGCTGGATGCGCAGCACAGCCCCATTCATCTTCACCTTCTCCTTCTCCAGCCTCAGCTCCTGCAAGGCCTCATCCAGCAGCTCCCTGTCCCTTGCCAGCTGCTCCTCCTTAGCTTTCAGCTCACGGCCCCGGATCTTCAGCTCTGCCTGCTCCTAAAATGGGCACGGGGGAAACCGATGCATTACGTGCCCTGTCCTGGACACTGTCTCATGTCTTCCTAAGTGATGGGAGAGATCTGCCCCTGTTGATCTCCTCATGTGTGCCAGTCTGGGGTGCAGAGCAACACTACCAGGTGCTCCAGCAGTGCCCTGATCCACCCACGCTTTGGGGACCAGGGCTGGCAGAGCTGGGATTGTACAGACACACGCACACACTCTCCTTCCCGAGAAAGGATGGAGCCCCTCACCATGTTGCACAACCTAAAACATGCTCAAGACACAGCAATTTGTCAGCAGTGGAAATACCCAGCCTGAATGGTTATTTTCCACCCTGGTAGTCCTTAAAAATGCAGCTCTGCCGCACTGTCTGTGCCACATATCCCCTCTGGACAGCCCTAGGGCAGAGCAGAACTGGCTCTGGACATGTCCCCATGGCACGGGGAGGTTTTGCCTAACACCATGGGGGTTTCCTCTCACCAGACTTACAACAGAGGTGGCTGCCCCTGGTCTGGCTGCCCAAACTCCTCACAGGTAAAGAGGAGAGACAGAGTTTACTGATGTTTGATGTTTCAAGTCAACATCTAAAACAGGCTGGATTCTCACCACCCCGAGTGACATCTCTGTCTTAAACACTTGAAGGCAGCTCTGAACGTCTCCCCTGTGGGCAGGACCCATCCGTGAGCCTGTCAGGCGGTGTTGGAGGCCACGGGAAGGGGCTCTGCTGCGGTACCTTGGCCAGGCTCATGATGGTGTCCTCTCTCTGGGAGTCCATCTGCAGAGCTCGGTCCATGTCATGCTCCATCCGCTCCTTGCTCAGCCGCTGCTGGGTGTGAAATTCAGCCCACTCGGCCGTCAGCTTCCGTCGCTCCTCCACACACTTCTGCATTACCAACTTCTGCTCCTCCAGCAAAGCGCTCTGGAGAGCATCACAAGAGAGGGTAAGAGAAAGCACTAAGTCCCATTTGCCGTAGGATTTTTCTTCTTTGACTCATCTCTGTCACTAAACCCCACGGAACATTTAGAGGCAGGTTCAAGCCCGTGGTGCCTGGTGTGAACCCTGCACGGAGAGCTCTGGCCCCACATTCCTCGAGAACCAGTGTGCATCGTGCACACACACAGCAGCCTCTTGCATCCACTTGCCAGAGAGTTGTTCTGATTGCGATTTACCATGCGACTGGGTGTGGGATTGAGGAGGCAGAGAGTAGAAAGGACGCTGCAGCCCACCACCCAGCCCCTTCCTCCACCACACACTGCAGTGCAGCCCCGGTCAGATTCACAGGACATGTGAAAAGCACCTGGAGATGTCTGCCCCACCTCACCTTTGCCCTCTCTAGCTCTGCTCGCTCTATGGAAAGCCGCTGGGTCATGACTTGCCGCTGCTCCTCCAGCGAGTGCTGCAGCGATTCCACTTTGGATTGCTCCGTCGTTGCCCTCCATCGCTCCTGGATTCGGACATAGAGGAGAAAGAGATGCCATTCACAGGCTCCAGGCCAGGGACCACCAGTGGGCAAGACATATGTGCCATACCCAGACAGGAGGGCTGACCTGCATGGGCTCACCTGCTCCAGCAGCTGAGTCTGCTCACTCAGCCTGGCCTCCATTTTAGTGATCACCTCCCGGAGTCGGCTCC